CCAGGAATCAAACTCAGGGCCTCAGAGCCTTGTGCTTGCCAGGTAGATGCTGAGTCACTCAGCTACATCCCTGGCCCCTCTCTCCTTTCCCTGATCCCCTTCCTATTTTCAAAATATCCATCACCCTACTTCCTACTATCTCTCTTTTATTTTGCTATTTATTTATTTATTTATTTATTTATTTATTTCATGTATTTGGTCGTTGCAGGGTCTCTTTACGCAGCTTGGACTCATGGTGATCCTCCTGCTTTCAGCCTCCCTAGAGCTGGGATTACAGGTGTCCACCACCACACCTGGAATCTGGTCTGCTCAGCATGCCTTGGGGCAGAGCTGGCACAGCCTGTGATGCCAGGGATCGAACCGTGGTCTCTGCACTTGCCTAAGCAGCGCTTAGTCTGCTGAACTATCTTGCTGGCCCCTGCTTCTTATTTATATGTTGGGTTTCCCATACAAGAGAAACCATGCAACATTCCAAGCTTTTGTGTTCAATTCACTAATCTAGAGCATCAAAGAGAAAAGTTTCAGAATGAAAGTGCAGGGGGCCTGCCCATTGGCTCAGTTGCTTAAGTGGCAGCTTCAGCAAAGCAGTCAAGCTCAGGAAGAGTCCGTGATTCGATCCCCAGATCCTCATGTCTTACCAGACCTGCCCTTAAGGCATCCTGAGCTGGCCCCTCCCCGCAAAAATACATCCATCAGAAGGAAAGTGGAACTCAAGCAAAAGATTGCCCTCCTATTCCTTTCATTCACTGCCACAGGGGTGTCAGTGCTGTTACTGAGGTTTCCTCCCTCTCCCTCTGCAAAACAGCCCCTGCACTCATGCTTCTGTTGGCTGCTCCTCTCCCAGGGACACTCCCCAGCTCCCTGCCCGACTTCTATTACTGAACTCTTTCACTTTCTCTAACATTTCTTAATCGGTTGCCCAGGTAGAGCCAAAACCTCTTTCCTCTACCATTTCTTTGTATTCCCAGGACACCTCTCTGCATACCATTTTTATTGACTTTGCCATATTCTACCACGATTTCTTTCTCTCTCTCTCTCTCT